GAAGGACGCTTTTGGCTCTTCCTTTTCATAAGTTGTAAATGAACTGCAAAGGAAAATCTTCGATTCCTTTTTTCTTGGCAAATGGGCTTCCCCTATGTGCGAAGAAGTGCGAAACAAAGCACGCGTTGAAAACGACTATATTTTACTCGTCCCTTCTTTTCCTTTTTAGTGAAAGTAAGGCACAGACTACTCTTGTTTCTTGTGGATATCGTGACAGGGACGAAAGATACTCAAATGAGTTGAAGCGAGAAAGAGAGTTTGTAGGTATGGCGGTCATGGGGGGTTCTGGAAGGAGTCCGATGAATGTGATATATATATATATATATTATTGTGTACATGTACCTTGNATGGGGGGTTCTGGAAGGAGTCCGATGAATGTGATATATATATATATATATATTATTGTGTACATGTACCTTGTATGGGAGTATTTTGAGGAATGATTGTTTATTTGTTGTCGTATAAAAGTTAAGGTAAACCGTTCAAAAAAAGTACTGAAGGCCTGAGGTAGGTGTCTTGCTTATTAATCGATATGAGAAAGGAGCCTTGTTTTATTCTTATCAGAAAATATCATTTTTTCACTTATTTTACTGTCTCTTTCTTTTTTGGGTATTTTGGCTTTGTTTTTGTATTACTATGAACCTGGACTTTTCTAAAACAACAGCAGCAATATTAACAATAAAACCAATGTGGAGTTGTGGCCATTGGCGGTGCAAACCCATTTTTTTTTTGCTTATCAATGAGATGATTTACTTTATACCTTTTGGAACATTTGGCCGCTTTTTTCTTTCTTTTTTAGCCGCTTTATTTAGTTACACAGAAGGTTATTTTGACCGAAGAAAATGACTATGAATTTTGGCAATATGACCCTTGGGGGTGCTGCGGCAACCTTTGGGGGTCAGTCGAACCCGATGTGCAATTATACCAGCCCTCTTGCCAAGAAGTTCGTGTATAAGGAGATGGGGAAGGTTTACTATCCCCTTCGGCGTCACGTTTTCCGTCTAAAGGTGCGTACTGCCGCTGAAATCCGTTTTAACGACATTGTTAAACGGTACATGAAGGACAAAATGAGCTTCAAGCGAGGGTGCTATGCGGCAACCATCACGAATACGGTGGAGCTGGATCACATGGGAAGTATTATTCCCAAGGACGAGTACGAGGTACGACGTCTTACAAGCTACATGACGAGCAAGAAGATGAGCAACGACTACAAAAAACACATCCAGGAGCTATGGACCCGTGTGCTTTTTGTTTGTGAGTCTACAAACCTTGTTGGCGTAACGGAGAATGCCATGCATCAGAACGCTCGTCCCGGTACCGATGAAGAATTTATGGCCCTTATTTGGTATTCCACATTTGCGAGCACTCTGTTTGCTTTTGTTATAACTCTCTGTATTTGGTGGTACAGGTACGGTCAGGCTCCACAATACGCCGAATTTAAGTAGTGATTAGCATCTAGAACGTAGTAGGAGGTTTGTGAACATTTGTGGGAGACTATGTCGGTTGGTGATATTTTTAAAATAGGGTCTTTAGTTAGTTGAGATAATTGGTATGATGCTCTATTACGGTTCCTTTTCTTGTAGCAGCCCATTTTAGCATTGAATCACAGTCTGCAGAACAAATGAAGAGACCTTTTGCACTCTTACACTTCTTATTAACGTGTACCATCTGCTTTCTCTCTCTCTCTCTCTCTCTCTCTCTCTCTTTCTATCTCTATTGCTAGAATTTGTTGTCTTTAGGTATTTGAAAAGTTTGCGTGCTTGTGTATTCTTCAAGTAGAAAGTGAATATGGAATTGGGGTCTTCGAAGAGTATTGCTCGCTTGGCTCTTTTCTCCACTGATTGCCTTGGGTATGGTCTATGATTTCCTTTTCTTCTCTCAGTATACGAATCAGCATGAACACCCTGTATGGAGGCAATGGCGTTATTTCATCTGTTTGGGAATGATCTGAGTGCGCCTGGGTCAGCTGGAGCTGGATGGATACAAAAAGAGGATTGGTATTGAATTCTAATTTGGCACTGATAGAAATTAAGCGAAAATAATTTATGATTGACACAGTGTTCGTTTGGAAGAGAAGAACAGCTTATTACACGGTTTAATGGCTTTTTGTCCACCAGGTAATTGTGTAAGTTGTCTTTCTGATCCTGACGTTAGATATTTACCTACAGAAAGAAAGAGCGGTCTAAGAAGCATGTACGTTATGAGATGCTTCAAAATTGAGTTTTCTTTTCCTTTTCTTTCTGTTTCTCTTTTGCATTTTTCTTTTTCTTGTGGGAACCTATGAAATAAATATCAAATGCCTTTTACTCTGGAAAAGAATATGATTCCTTCCGTTAACGATGGAAGACTTTAATGGACCATTCAAGATGGCTTACTTTAAAGTCTTCTATTCAAATATATACAGAATGATTTCGATAAGTGGTTTTATCATGGATTTAACCCAGTGGCCTCCCAAACTGGAGGTCCCCCTGGATAGAAACATTTTTTTTTGATTTTACGAATATGTGTTAGTAATTGTGCAGTGATTTATTGGTTTCATGCTCTACTCAGCAATACAACACACCACCGTTCTGCGATGTTTTCCCCAAGGCTTTGCTGGTATACCTCTGGGAAACCGGGTGGGGAGTATGGGTGGGGTTGCGGATATGGGGAAATGCCAACTCGCATTCTCAGGCGCGAGCTTCCTGACAGGCGAGGGCACAACCCAGCCGATCACCAAATGTTAACCTAACCAATGAGAAAAAAAAGCACACAACAACAACCTAACAACAGCTCAATACAACACAAAGTAAATCGGTTTACTTCCGTATTGGCGATAAGTGGCGGCAAACTTGCTCTGCGATAGTGGTCAGTAGGGTGAGGTTATCGATAGTGGTCGAGAACAGTTGATATGAACACCAACAAATTCTGCAACCGAAGACGTTTCTTCTTTTTGTAGTGCTTATGAAGAAAAAAAGTAATAAACCGATGGCCGCTATTTGATAGCCCATTGAGAGTGACTGAGAATTCTCGTTGCTTTTTTTGTTTTGCTGACAAACCGCGGTATTGTTCCCGTTTTTCTTTCTATCCAATATTGAGTGTTGTGGCTTCCCTATATTGCTTCTGCTTTTATGTGTTTCTTATTAAATAGGCCTTTTTAATGCTGACAAAACCGGTGTTGTTTTTTCACGATTGAGGTAACCTTTTGGTGTACATTTAAAGAATTTGCATTTTTACTTGAAAAAGTCTTGAGGTTGTACTGATAGCCTTTGGACTTTCTCAGATTCAATAAAAAAGGATTCTGCCGTCATAAAGCTTTTCTTTTTTTGTTTTGAAAGGGGATCCATCACGGTCGCCTATGATGGCCAATTCCACACTTCGATTGGCCAAAATTTTATGCCTTGTTTTTCGCTTCTAAGAGAAGAGGACCGCTTAATGATATCTTGGTATGGTTTCTCGCAGTGTCTTGTTGGGAAATCGTACTCTCGTGAATAAGTAGAGGATGTGACAAACCCAGTACTTGTTTGTGATGGCAGTAGCTGTTGTTTGTACCTTTTGCGTGAAGAAAAACTTTCTTAGTCTTTTTTTTTTTGGCGTATCGACGGCTCTTGTGACGTACGTAAAGTTCTCTGTCTTCTCTCTCTCTATGTGTGTGTGCATGGTGTTTTTACTTTTCGGGATTTCTACTGCTATGGCATTTATTCTTCTTATCTGGCCGCTTTCCTTTTTGAGGAAGTCTTTGTGGTGTTACTGACGGAAGAGGAACGATTATATACTGGTGGTGTAACCTTGGCTCCTTGAAATGTGGTTATTCTTTACCAGGAAGTTATTTGCTTTTCTTTTCCTTTTTTTGTAGGGTTGCACCACCTTTCTTTTCTTGTTACTGCTTTCACAATTGCCAACCGCATGTACTATTACTAGCTCTCTCTATTAATAAAAGGGCTGTACGAGATTCGTTATGCTCTGTTTTTCTATGTTTAACACCCATGCGTTGTGAGTGGTGGACATGTGAGTTGCGCTAATAAATATTGCTTTAGCCTTTTGCTTACACACTGCATTTTTCTTTCTTGCGATGGGTGATTGATTTTTGAGGATAGGAACGGGAAGAACAGACACACGGTTCATATTAACCGATTAAGCGATGGGCATTGGAGATCCACGTGACATTGCTATTGGTGCTGTTTTGCAATGCACGGAGGCGTTCACCCTCGGCATGCCGTTTGAAGTGTGGAAGACTCAGCAGATCTCCAGTCTCGCCAAAGGCAAATGGTCGAGTGCCGCGGAGGAGTTTAAGATTCTTGCACGAGGCGGATTGAGTCGTTTTTATCATGGAACCGGGGCAAAAATGATAGAGGCCGGATTAAAAGGTTCTATACTGCTTTTTGGTACCAATTTGACGTTGGAACTGGAACCTATGGTGGGCATTAATCCACAGAGTGCAGTGGGTGGCATGACGGCAGGATTCTGCGGCGGTGTTGCGCAGACAGTTGTGATGTCCCCAATGACCTATGTTGTGACATATAAGAACCGCCACCCGGAGCACCATTCGAAAAGTCTCTTCAGAGTATTGGGGGACGCGGGATTCCGAAAGGCATACGGATCGGCTCCAGCTATGGCGGGCCGACAGGGGACAAATTGGGCGCTGCGTTGGTTTTTTGCTGTTGCTTTCACAAACAAATACAAGGAAGTAACAGGACGAACCAAATTGAACGCAGCAGAAGAGGTCCTTTGCGGAATTGTTGGAGGTATTCTGGGGTGCGTGAATCAGCCCTTCGAGGTGATTCGTGTCCTTCAGCAGGCGCGGCAGGCAACTGGAGATGCCGGTGCAAACACAAGAAACTGTTCGGCGTTCGTTTATAAGACCTATGGATTAAGAGGGTTCTACGCAGGGTTGATACCAAGGATGGGGCTTTCCGCTTGGCAGACAATGTTCATGGTGACCTTTGCGGGAATGATCAAGGAGCGTCTTAATGCGATCAGCGGCACAGCTCCACCAGTGAAGAATTGATTATGGGGTGCGCTGCGCCTGGGAAATTAAAATTAAGGGGAGGGGAACTGGCAAGAAGAAAAATGACAGTGCATCTGCAAAAAAAAGAGTGGACGAATATGATGACATGAGAGGTGGAGGAGGTGGATCTGAACCGAAGAACAATAATAGAGAGTGAGGTGCCATTATCCATCATTCTGTCCGATGGGTTTTTTTTTCATATTATTGGGCTCCCCTCTTCTCAAGAATGAATATCTCTGCTCATTGTACACTGCCAAAGGTTGTGTTTGTTATTACTGTTTAGAGGAATGAAGGAAGCGTCGTCGTCTCTCTTGTTTTCAACCCTAAGCTGTTATTTAATATAAATTCTGCAAAAAAAAAAAAAGAAGCAATTACACAAGAGAGGGAGGGGAAAAGTAAAAAAAAAAGCCGTCGAGGGGAGTGCTCAGCACCAGCCTTTTTTAAAATTCCCGGTTCGCCAGTTCTTTTTCTGCTTATTTGTGTGTATGGCTCTCCTGTGGGACACCATTTGACTTCTTGCCTTTCTTTCGGTGTGCATCTGGGGCAAAGGACAGAGAATAGATAATATATATATATATATATAGAGAGAGAGAGAGAGAGAGAAAGAGAGAGAGATAGATAAAAAAACATATGAAGCCAAATGAAGTTAACCCACTAACGAGCTTCATCGGGGCAGAGGCTAGAATAGAAGATGTCATCCTCTCGTCTGCCACCTTCTCCCTGTGGGAGAGATTATACGGTGTTGCGACGGTGTCCCCGACCGCCGACAGGATAAGCCTGTACTGCCTACAACATCGACAATGTGATCAGCGGACTGGTGCTCCGGCTGACACACGAAACGAGAGCGTTTTTTCGCTCCGCCGTCCGCATGCCCCTGCGACCACTGTTGCTACCACCACTCATTCTGGTAATTCATCGTTGTTTACAGGCCGACAAGGGTTGACTTCGAGTTCACAGAATTACCTTTCTTCTTTCCCACGATCGGAATCGCCGCGTGTGACGCGCAGGGAAGCCGTTGACGGACGAACCAAGACAATCGCAGCCAAAATCCACGGAAAGGAAATAAAAGGCTCTTCTGGGCGACCAGATGAGATCGCCTGTTTAGACGAGGCCAAACGACAAAAACGACCTCGTGATGGGGACACATTTGTGCAAGGTGGTCGTCGCCTGTTTTCCTCTCCCCCACCACCACCACCACCACCACCACCACCTCCTCCTCCTCCTCCGCCCTTGTTTCCAACGTCGACATTGTTAACACTGGGAGGAGGTTTCTTGACGACCGATGACAGAGAATTCACATCACAGATGCCATACCAAACAATTGCTGAGGAGACAACCGTGCATTTTCACGTTGGGAATGACGAGGAAAGAAACACAGAGAACAGAGGATCGGGGTCAGACATTGCCCTTACCGATGTATGGCCGCGACACAGCCAAATGAGTGAAGTGCTGAATGTAGGTAACGATGCGTTTGATGATGATGATGATGATGATGTCAATGATTGCGGGAGTTCCGTTGCCAGACAGGGCACCGGGAGTGACCGTACTAGAAGTACTGCCCCACGTTATTCAATACCAGATCCGACACGGTTGACAGGCGCTCCAACATTCCAGCGGTCACGATGGGAAACATCAGTCGAGGCGCAGCGCCTTGCTGACGTGGAGGAAGCGTCTAACCTTTCTTTGAACGCCGAAAGAATGGGATCTCAAAGTGTGTTGAGACATGGGGGGGAAGATGGTAATGAAGATCGAGGGATCATTGTGGAAAATATTCCGATTCTCTCAGACAGTCAGCCGGAGATCTTTCCAGCGGATAGCTCGCCATTGTGTGACGGCGTGAGTGGCGTATCAATTTCCTCATCGCCTTGGAAGCCGTCACTTCAGGCCGCCAATAGTGGACCGCCGGCGGGGCGGCGCTCCGGCACACCGATCGCCAGTATGTCACCCCTTGTACAGCAGAATGCAGTCGAAGGGCCGACGAAGAAAACGCGGCGTTACTGTCCGCCGTCGTTTTCTTGCACCGGTGCGCCTGAAAGCGCTGGGGGAGCATCAGGGGGGTACAAAGCTTTGCTTCCTGCCCGAGTGAACAGAGGCGCTTCGTCTTCATTGTCAGGCCATCAAGCCGACGGCTTCGCGCCAAGCCCCGCGGCTGTTGCTGTACATAGCCCACACGACGACGATGATGATGACGACGACGGCACGCCGCTGGTGTCATTGCACAACTTTTCACCACCGCCACCGGCCACTGTGCCTGTTTTCAAGACACCGTCTACGCAACAAAGTCGCCTCCCTCTGCTTACTGTAGAGGAATATCCCTTCCCCATTCCTTCGTCTTCTTCACAGGATGGTGAAGATGGCGAGTGTGAGGCAAAAGAATATCCCGAGATTAATGTGACTACACCCAATTATGGTAGCGGTGACATCATCCGCTCTTCTTTTGAAGAGGGCGGGAAGGAGTTGTTGCCCCAGACATCACCACAGGAACTGGGAGCTGACAATTCCCCCAAAGAACAAGAGCAAGAACAGCAGGGCGGAACAAATCTGATCAAAGAGACAAATGAGACGCCGCTCTCTGTGTCTCCATCTCCATCCTACAAGGAATACGAGTGGGCTACCAAGGCTCAGGAAGCGTTGGAACAACAGCAGAAACGTTGCCATGCTCGCACACCATCTACTAACCCTCCTTCTCCACCACCTCCGCTGCAGGTCGGTGGGTTTGGACTTCCCCAGTTGCCCAGAGGCCGCCGCGCTGCCCACCTCGCTACGCTGGATGAAGAGGAAGGCAAACTCAGTTCAGAAATCCCCCATTCAGTCAAGAAGAAAAGCCACAGTCCACGTGCCTTGCCGGAAAGTGCTGCTCAGACCACAAAGATTTCAACTACACAACCTTCTAAAAAGAGTACTGCTTCTACTGGTCCGGCCACTCGGCGAGCAGCACCGAAAGAGGACCAAACGCCTGTTGTTTCAGAAGGCGCTTCCACAACAATGCGGTCGCGGCGTGCGGCAGTGTCGCCACCGCCCACGGCGGAATTTCCCCTTCCCCAGGCAATGACGACGAGTGGAAGTGGGGCAAAACAGAGTGCAAAGAAAAAGAAAAGAAGTCGGAAGTGAAGAATTTCAGGTGGGAAGGGAAAGGGAAAAAAAAAGAATTGTACGTTTTTTTGTTGAAGTACGTCTTTCGTTTGCGCAAGACTGCCACTCTTATTCACTTGTGACTTTCCAACAAGGGAACGTAACTGAGGGAAGAATAGAAGTGAGGGGGAAAAAGGTGACCCCCTGCTACAAAATGCCCGGCCTTCCATCTCTATCGGTGGAGGAGAAGGCCGCTCGGGATCGGCGGCTGCAAATGGAGCATGAAAGGTATGTCAACAGCATCGCCACGATGCGTTCTTTGCCACGTTTGCAGTCAACGATTGCCGGTGCCGGTGGAAAGACCAACGAACATGTCCGCCTCGCAGAGGAGCGGGAAACGGAGCGGCGTCAGCGCCACCAGGTCGAGGCTGACCGTCTTCTGGAAAGAACAGAGCGAGAAAGGGCGCATCAGGCCAAGGTTGAGGCGCTGAATGCTAGACAACAACGAAAGCGGGCCAAGGCGGCCAAAAAAAAGTCGAAGAAGGCGAGATTGCGATTGGAAGATGGAAAGGCGGAAGGCTCTTCCGTCCCGTCTGAAGACGAGGAAAGCGAGAATGGTGACGTAGGTGATGCGGCAGCTTCGGATGAAGGGAAAGCTGAAAAATAGTGAAGATCGGGGTCTTTGCTAACACCATTTTGACGAGAAATTGGGTGACACCAATGCTGCACTGCTGGGTCTACCGGGAGGCGGAATAATCTCCTTTGGATTACGTTTATCGTTGCCAACATTTTCTTTTGACCTCTCTTCGGCATCGTCCCGCGGATGATGGTGCCGTGCAGTCCTGCGTTATGCTGTAATGTGAAAATAGGAAGTGCTTTTGCTGCGTAGACCCCCCCCCCCCCCNGAACTTCCCTAAGGGTGTTCTGCCCGCTAAGGTCCTTACGAAGAAGAAAAAAAAAACAATAAACGTCTCACGATGAACGATGTAATCTACTACTGAAGGGCTGTTTATCCTTCAGCTGCGTTTATTCGAGCATGGTGATATGTGAGCGTTAGGAAGCGCGTTGGCGGTCTCCACAGCTGCTGTGGTGAGACCCAATTTTTTCCTTTTCCGGATGATACAGGTGGATTGAAATCTGGTAATGATCTTGCGTCGGCGACAAAGGAATGCGGATAAGCACGCATTCACCGTACATGAACTCGGCGCTGGAACATTCACGTGGCTGTTTCGCTCCCTCACCCCGCGGAAGGTTTGATGGGGTGAGAGCGTGTGTCTTGGCAGAAGCATCAACATATATATATATGTGTGTGTGTAATGCTGATTGGCAGATTTTGCGTCGATTATTTTGCTGTGCTTTGTGAAACTTCGATGTAGTAATAAATGTGCGGCGTTGCTCTGTAGTGATTGGCCCGTGCGGCGCATCTTTTTCTCTGTCGCCGTCTCCGCCCGTTATCTTGTGATGATGATGCCAATCGCCGTATCAGTTTCAACAAACAAGAATCCCCCAAAGGTGAATAAATACACTAAAGGTCAATGACTCCAAAACGGCAATTGGCGACAGTTTCGGGGGGCGCACGGTCGGCTGTTAAAAAGAGTGAAAGCACGGCCCCACCGTCACCTGTTCTTCCCCTCTGGCGTTTTCTCTCGCTGGAGCTGGTTATATGCCTCTTTTGCCACCTCATGTGCCTCGGGATTACGTTCTTTGCCCCGGGCCGGACACCTCTTGCTTCGCGAAGCGGTTGGTTGCAGCAGAGATACCGGAATTCTCCAAGAAAAGGTGTCGTGCGCGGGCCATTCGATGTTTTCCAGAACTACGAGAAGGCTGCGCCACCAGCGCCGATGACGCATCAGATCAACTCAGACGCTGTTCTCACGTTACTACTTGTGTTTACAGTAAATAGTTGTATCCTGGCTCTTATGCGGCGTATCGACGATGTCATGGCCGCCGAAGAGAAAAAACTTCAGAAGGCATCTGAAAAAGACACAATGGCGAAGAATGACGCGGAAGAATGCACCACCAATGTTGAAGGCACTTGGAAGGTGAAGTGCAACGAGCTTTTGAATAACGTCATGCTTTTCGGTTCGGCCGTTCTTAGCGTGGTCACTGGCATATGTGTGATTGGGCAGCCAGCAAACCAGGTGCGTGCGCTCGGCCCCGCCGCTGTATTGATATCGCTTGCAATCGACCTATGCGTGCTGCACGGACACGGCAAGGCGCGCGCGCTCCGGCATTACCTCAATCTTATCCAAGCTCTCGTTATTTGTGTGCTTGTTGGCCTTGTCGCAGAAGCAAATCTCTACTACAAGGAGTGAGGCACCGTAGTGAATAGATGAGAACAAGGATGAAACATAGAACTCTAGGCGAGTGGATGCAGGCATCCATTTTAAAGATTAATAGATAGTTTGCATTGAAATCTTGTGAAAAAAAACATGAATTGTGCTTTGAATTGCATCTCTTTTCTCTTCTTTTACGCTGGGTGCTGCGTCAGTAGATCATCTAACATCACAATAATATGCCTGGACCTGGACTTTGTCCTGACGGCTGGTTCCGTGAAGAAAATGACCAGTGGCCTGGGCAAGCGATGTCTTTTAAGGTGAACAAGGTTCTGTACGATGCCCCGACGCAGTTCCAGCACCTATCGGTCTTTGAAACCGACCCGAAGGGGCCGTGGGGCACTGTTATGACACTTGATGGTTGCATTCAGCTGACAGACTTTGATGAGTTTGTCTACCACGAAATGCTCGGCCACACTTCACTCTGCTCCCACCCCAACCCCGAGCGGGTGCTCATCATTGGTGGTGGAGATGGTGGTGTCATGCGGGAGGTGCTTCGACATGAGACTGTAAAGGAGTGCGAGCTTGTTGACATCGATGGGGATGTTATGAAGCTGAGTAAGCTTCATTTCCCGCAGATCTCTTGCGCTTTATCCAATCCACGAGCGACGGTCCGTGTGGCTGACGGCGCCGCATTTGTAAAACAGGCACCGGACAACACGTACGATGTTATCATCATCGACACTACTGACCCTGCGGGGCCCGCCTCTGATCTTTTCGGGGAGGCATTCTACCACAGCGTGCTGCGCATTCTGAAGCCGGGCGGTATATGCTGCAACCAAGGCGAGTCCATTTGGCTGGATCTCAAAATGATTGAGAATATGGCCGGGTTTATCAAGAACAAGGTTGGCTTTGCATCGGTGAAGTACGGTATGATCTACATACCCACTTACCCATGTGGCAGCATCGGTACCCTTGTGTGCAGCAAGGAGGCAGGTGTTGATGTAACGAAGCCACTGCGCCCCATTGAGAGAATGCCGTTTGCGAAGGACTTGAAGTACTACGACTCGGAGGTGCACAAGGCGGCCTTTGTGCTCCCACGTTTCGCGCAGCATCTTAACAGCTCCTAAAAAAAATAAAATTTTTATTTAATTGGCATTGCGATGCACTTTTCATTGTTTTGCCGGTGGAAAGTAAGGGTATAATTGACCGAGTGGAAGTGGGTATGCGCCTTCCCTTCCCTTTCCCCCTTTTTTAAAACACGGCTTGTCTTTGTCTCTATTGCTGTTACACTCTGTTCTCCATTTTGGAGGGTTTGTAGTGTGTTGAACATGCAGAAGTCGACATTGGTGCACACCGTGTGCTTGCATCGCGTTCGGCTTCAGAGCCCCAATGGAGACAGTTCCAGTAAGAGGGAGATCATGGCTCAGTGCGCGACTTTGGAGCCTGTAGTTGTTTTCACGGAGAACGACATCAGCAACAGCAGAAGCAGCAGTGGTGGGACTGAGAGAGAACGAAGTATCATTGAGCAGTGCGGTTCGCTCCGCTCGTTGCTTGGGTGGTTCTGCGGATCGTTCTTGGTGAGACGGGGTGAGGCGGCAGCGCAACGGTTTAAGGCCTACGTTAGACCGGACTTGGAGTTGGTAGGCAGTACCGCCCTCGTTGCGGAGGAGGGACTCTTTGTTCAAGTGCCGTCGCCTCAGTTTGCTGCTGAGTGCATGCACTCGGCGTCGAGGGGCCGTGCAATGGACGTAATTTACTACAATAGCCTGGGAAGTCGTTGGTGTCGGGAGAACGATGGTTTTGGCGAGATTAATGATGGAAGTAGTGCTCAACACGATGGCAACGACGAGGGCTATGTATACGGCTTCGCGCAGTTAGTCGGCGTGGGGCGCGCGACGGAAGGGTTGCTGCTAGCCGCCTTCTCCAGCGCCCCGTTGTTCAATGTGTTGCGTGCAGTGGTGTTGGAGGCCGTGCCACACGTTATGTGTGCCGCGAAGGAGGTGTTCAGCGACCGAGACATTGTGCACGATGAGGAGGAGCATCGGGCGATTGCTGCTGTGTACGCGAACGCCATGTCACCTCTGGCAGCCCTTGTGGATACTCGCGAGGACACCTGCAGTTCTCTCGCAGGCAGACAGATCACTCTGCGCTTCCCGCGGAAGAGTGTCTCCATCCTACGCCCGGATGACTTGCACCGCCCATTCATTAACGTCCCGCTGTCGATTTTATTGCTAAGTTTTTCATATGACGCGCTCCGTGTCATTCATTCCCTCCTGTTGCAAGAAAAACGGGTTGTGTTTATTGGGGCGACGCCGCAGCACGCCTCTGCGTGTGTCGTGAGTGTGCAAGCGATGCTTGTGCCCTTCCTTTGGACACTTCCAATCGTACCATACTTGCCACCCGAAGTATGCGACGTGCTTGAGGCAGTCGGGGACTCCGGTTTCCTTGTGGGATCGACGGCCGACATTGTGCCACGCCTCATGCTGCACGGTGGCCTCTCCGACAGTCCGCAGCGTGGGGGTGCGTGGTCGATGGAGGACGAAAAATGCCGCATTTGGTTTGCGGACAGCCGCACGGGTGTGGTCGGCGTTTCTCCTCGTGACACCGACAGGTTCCCCTTTACAGTGCTCGATCTGATGCCACCGAGTGAGAAAGTGAAGGAGGCGGTGAAGCGGGCTGTCTCGAAGGAACAGCGGCATATGTTCCGCGTGGGGCTGGCCTCAGCAGCGGCTCAGGCGACTGGCAGTTTTCCCTCGTGCCCATCCACCCTAACGCCGTGCCCAACAACAGTGATTGTAGAGGAAGTGCACGGAGCCTTTCTTGAGTATAACGTTCACCGCCTCGTTGGGAACTACCGGAAGGGAATGCTTCCTGCCTGCACCAGCAGCAGTGGCAGCGGGGCCAATGTCTCACGTTTACACGGAGGTTCTGCAATTACTATTGACTATACACGCTTTCTACCAGGCAACCTCGACAATAATGTAATCCTCGCGCGGTGCATAGCGGGGACACGTATGTATCGTCACTGGGAGGACGCGGTCCTCTCCCTCGAAACAATTGGCTTGTTGCGTTCTCTTCTTGGGGAGTTTCTGCGCAGTCGTGCCCGTTCACAGCAACGTGGCTCCAATTCATCGTCACTGGAAGAGAAGGATTCGCTTGTAATGCATTACTACATTTCTCACCCACGTATGATCGGGATGTTGTGCCATCTATACATCCGCAGTGCGCGGCGCTTCCCCGAGCTGTACACTGATCTGCAAGGCAGTGGCATAATGCGACTGAGTGAGGGAACTGGCATATCATACGCTGGAGGTTGCGATCTCAAGACTCCCACCTCCGCTGGTGGTGTGGGTAACAGCAGTAGTAGCAGTAACGGAAAGGGGCTGATGCGCACCCTTTTCTCCAAGGCGACAAAAGCGGTGAAGAACAGTCTCGCTACACATTACCACCGAATCCCTGTGCAGGCGTTCGTGCAGGCCTACGGCAGCTTTGCCAACCAAACAGATTATGGAAAGGAGGCCAATAAACCCGAGACGTTGAACAAGGAGTTTAAGAACAGTGCTTCTGTCGCCGCCACCCTTGTACCAGTTAAACAGCAGGATCAAGCGATGACGCCGCCAACGCCGAGCAACTTTTCTGTATGCGAAGCCGAAGACGATCTGTACGGAGCGTGTTCAACCCTGGCTGACGAAATGGAGGAGGGCGATGCCCCGCGCCGTCTCGCGACGAGTGTTGACGAGAAGACACCTTCCGTTTTGTGCCGGCGGCTGCCCTTGGACATAATCCATCAATTTGGGCGCTACCATTTGCTCCTGGACCCCAGGAAACACTCTGTTTACTCAACAGGAAGGCGTAGTGAAACGACGCAGGAGTTATCGAGACAACAGATGGAGACGTTTGTGGAGTTTGGACCACTGTTGGCTTCTGAGTCGAGGATCTGGGCGGCTATTAATGCCAAACAGTGTGCTCTTCTCAGCGTTCCACCATCGTTGACGGAGCACAAGAAACATCAACAGCCACTACAACCACAGCAACTGTATCAAACTTGCCCTCCTGGTTTGGTTGGCAGCATGACCAATGTTTGTGATATTCCATTTGAAGCACAGCCCCTCCCCTTTTCAATGGATCTTGTTACGAGTGCGCCGGTGCTTCCGCCGCCTGCTGATGGATTTCGCCCTCTTGAAACGACAGAGTTTGCTTCGGATGTTTTGCGTAGCAAATCTGCGGTAAGGAACTGCCAAAACTCTGCTGGTGGTGATGTCATGAATGACCTGTTTGCTTTTGCGGAACCGCAGTCTGAATCCACTGTGGCCGGCACAAATATTCCGAAGCAACTGGAAGACTTCTTTCAGTAGTGAATGAAGTTCACAAGGATATGCTTTCTGGTGTCGGTAGTCGGATTCAGTGTACCAAAAAATCGTTTCCCCCTTGTATGGGTGCTTATAAGCGCATATAGTTGCTTCCTATTCCCTTTGCTTCTGCCAAAACAAACACTATAAACCTTCTTCATGGGTGTTTCTTCTGCTTCATTATTTTTCATTTGTTGTTGCCGTATGTACGTCAGGCCCCGTTGCACACTCAGCTTGGGGAGGGAGGAATGATGGAGGGGAAGGATAACATGCCTCCACCAGCGCCACTGGCTGTGAAAGAGGCACCAACACCAACACCACCACCACCGGCTGCAGGACGGTCCTATATTTTGCCGTCTCTCTTGTGGGAGGACAAACAGCTTGTGGGCCGTGCTGCCCCTGATATTTCTTCTGCGGTGGCAATGAGTGCTGCCACGTTGAGTGGGCCTTGTTCCCCGGCTGAGCCTGGGAAAGTCGCGGCTGTCGGTAACGACGACACGGGTGGTATGACAATCTTTCCAGTGTGTGCTGATGGAAAGTATGGACAACGACATCCCTTCCAAGAGCAGGTGAATGCTCGCTCTTCTTCCAGTGAGGGTGAAGATGACGTGAGGAGGAATCACAGTGACAATATTCCCAATAGTCCTGCAGTCGTAGGTGAGAATTTACTTCGGCTTCTGCAGCATTTGCCTGATTCTGGGGATGGGGCTCCGTGTCGCACATGTGTGTCTTCTGGGGCAGGTGTAGTCGAAGACGATGGGTGCGATATCGAACTTGTCAAAAATGGTGAAGAAGAATCTCTGGATGACCTGTTCATGTACCTGTTGTCAGTGCTTGAGCAAGTTGTGGAGGACTTCTTGTCCCGCTCTTTGCATCGGGAATGGAAGGCGAGGGGGCCTGGCAAAGGGTCGACCCAATTATCTCCGGCGAAGGAGGCGGCGCAACTCTGGTCGTTGGCGTGGTGCCAAGCGGATCACCGCGATAAAGAGGCATGGCTTGCGTGGAAATCTGCCATTTATCGTTCTTGGCGCCGCACCAAACGGGAGTGTGATTCGCGCGAGCGCAGTGAGGCACTGAATATCGCCCTCTTTCAGCTGGATCCTTCCAGCACCATCTCGGCTAGATACACAATGAATGCGTCTCGCCACAAAGCGGAACAGTCCCAGGCTGAGCGGCATAGGGCGCTGAGAAAACTCCATGCACTTGTATACCGTGTGCTGTGTACGTGTCCTGCGCTTCTCCTTGACGAGCACACACAACAACTGGCTGCGACGACTAGTCTCAACTTGGACGCCGTGTGCCAGTGGATACGTGCGCCGACAGACGATGACGACGATAAAGGTGATGTCGCCGCTTACATCCGTGGGCTTTGCCGTTGCGAAGAGGATCCGGCATGTAGCGCCGACTTCACAAATATAGAGGAATTGGAAGGTTTATTCGCTTCTGCAAGACGTGCACTGCTCGGCCGGTTTGATGCGGGAGAAAAGCCACCGTCCTCGCTTATGGTGGCGCCGCTGTCCTCTCCACTGCCGCAACCCTTTGCGGTAGTCCATACGCCGGGCAGCCCAGAGCCCCGCTTCACGACTCCCACTACTCAACTTCTGCCCGCGTCTGTGCCGCGGTACGTTGATCCCACTATGATGGAACCTCGGTCCTTAGGCGTCACCGCATCGAGTTGGTCACCGAGCGCGCGCGCGCCCGATTCGGCGAGGAAGCGTGCGTCGATGAGTTCTGTCGTGCTGCCTGATGACGCCATGGCATTCCTCTTATCTTCTGCTCGTGTCGGCCACGATACCCCAAAGTTAGGACGAGTCGGCCGAACTAATGTGTGCAGTCTGGCGCGGCAGCAGGAAGAATTGAAGGATACCAGCATCGTGTTGTCACCACAGGAACGGAACGCGGATTCGGCACGACCAGTTAGGTACTTGCCTTCTGCGTTGAGAACTCCAAGGTCGGTGTCGTCGAGGTAGTAAACCTATTCTGCGTGTTTCTGTGTATGCTCACACAGTTTCTGTATCGTTGTCATCCGTGACGTTGATATCTGTTAACATTGTGGATAGCCTCGTTTGCTCGCTGTTTATGTGTGTATGGGTGCGTGTGTATGTGCGTGTATGTATAGCTATCTCTCATTTTTCCCTATTGTTGGTGTCGTTTTTTTAATTTATTCCAATGCATGAGGGGGGCTTCCCTTTTAGTGTAGGTGCGAGGTGGGTGAAGGGTGACGAATTTCATTATTTGCTCTCGGTCACTGCACCATTCCTCTGTGTGGGTGAGGCGAAGTTGCCGAAGGGTAGTTGTTGCGTGTAGGGTGGGCGTGGCTGCATCATGGCCACACAGACTTCGTCTTCGTTGATGCTGCCCGCGCGATCACCACCGGCGATGCATGAGCCACTTGTGCCGTCCATCAACTTCGCTATGGTCTGTCCCGGTGTGTACCGCTCAGGGTACCCGACGCGGAAAAATTACCGCTTCATTCGCGCATTGCGGCTCCGCACCATCCTCTACTTGTGCCCCGAGGAATACGCCGAGAGCAACGTGAAGTTCTGTGAGGAGAACGGCATCAATATTCTGCGGTTTTCGACAGAGGGAAATAAGGAACCCTTCATGGATATTTCGGAACCACTGATGCACCGGATCCTCAGCGCCCTCATCGACACCCGAACGCACCCTGTTCTTATCCACTGTAATAAGGGCAAGCACCGGACCGGTACAGTCGTGGCGTGCCTGCGTTTGCTACAGGGATGGTCGCTGGTGTCTATTTTTCAGGAGTACTGTGGCTTCGCTGGCGACAAGGCACGTATGGGGGATCAGCAGTATGTAGAGCTCTATAATCCAATCGTGCGTCTAACACCGCCATATGTGGCGGAGTGGGTGTGCATTACACCGACTGTCACCGAGGTGCGCAGCGAAGAAGAACTACTGGAGGCAGAGGCGCGGCAGCTTGGATGGAGCCTTGTGGCACCACCCCCGCCGCTAACGAAGCTGACGGCACAGCACCACGTCGAGGGGAAAGCGACGGAGCACGCTACCAACAACACTGCAAAACTCGCGACAAAATCGTCTGCTACGACGACGACTACTACTACTACTACTTCTTCTGCTGCAGCTACTGCTACTGCCGCCGCTGCGGCGATGCCTGTGACGCCTCACGTACCCACGGCGACATCCCGTCGAGGTGTTGGTGGTGGGCACAGCGACAGCAGCGGTGCTATTGGCGCGTCAAGGGTGAAGGACACCGCTGCAAGTGTGCGGAGGGATACTGGAGGTGATGGGAAGAAGAACCAAAAGTGAAGCTGCTTCACGGTTCAGCAGTGCAGTAGAAAGACATGTTTCTGTTTGTTTGGTGTGTGGTGGCCCATGCAACGTTTATCATGTTTCTCCATCGAAAAGAACAGGGAATTAGGGTGAGTGAAACGAAGGGTCTGATCGTCTTGTTGACTTGGACCTGTGACGTGCAGTGCACTTCACGTGTACCCTTTTGGATTCTTATTCCCTCTGTGTGTGTGTGTGTGCTGAGGGGTGGAATGGTGAATACATCCCCATGTGTGGCACATGCTTCCGAAACGGAGAAGCGTTACAGCCGTCACCACCACTACCACCAGCTTCGCCTTCTTTCTGTTCAGCTGCCGGTGAATAGATGCGGGAGACGGAAATGACAGTGGTGCCCTCTTCCCCCACGTGTCTTTTTGCATTATTTCTAATCTTTACCTCCCAACGTTCTTTCTGTTTCTGACCCTTTGTTTTTGTTTTGGCAGGCAAAGGCTTACCACGTTTGTCCAGCGGAAAGGGAGAATGCCTCTGCGCCTCTTTGTCGCTCGACTGCAATGGGTTCTGTTTCAGCGCGAAAACCACCGGAGGAAATAGGTGGATTAGAATGACGCTGCATAGTGCCTTTCCTGATCCGTGGTGTCTTGTCCCGTTTCTGCAGCACCGACGCCGCAGTTGTTTGCCGCCGCTGCTCCTCTTGTCTTCTATGGTGCTAACCTGATCGGCTACAGAGTTTCTTGTAGTTGCGAAAACCGCTTCTGCTTCCTTTCGCGAGAGAGAGAGCATGTGCTGGTTGTCGGTGCACCTGCACTCATACGTAGTCTCGGCGAAATGGAGAGCAAAAAATGCCCTTTTTTTTCATCTCGCCTAGCCACTACATAAGTGGGAAAAATTCTGTCGAGGACGGCTACAATTCTGATAGCTTTGATGTGAGTAATAGCGCGCTGGGGCAGAGCTCGCACGTTATGGGGGCGACTGTTTCAGAGAGCCTGGGGCTGTTGAGTTCTTAGTCAGTGAGGGGAAGTGTGGAGCTTCCATGATTGTTGGCTTTAGGGAGGTTTCATCTGGTGTCTTTGTTTGAGGGTATATATAATTGTCTGAAAAAGCGCATGGACGGTGCCGTTCAGCTTCTAGACCCCCTTGCCCTCGTGTCGCGCTCTTCCGAAAATGCAAGTTTGCATTTGAAGTGCTACAAGTGGTTTTCACCTCGTCTCGGTTGTGTCTGTGCCACTGGTGTTGGTGGTGGACCTGAAGATCTTCGACGAGAGACTCCTGGGGACCGATTCGGCTCGTGTGTTCCCTCTGCACGGTTGTGCGAGGCGGCTTCCGGACGCCGAGAAGCTCACGGAGACGTGCTGGCGACTGACAGCAACAAAAGAGGTTGCGAAGTCTGCAGATCCGGACAGCTGCCGCGCCTTCCTTGGTGAGTACACAAAGCTTTAGAGCGCATGCGCGTGTGAAGGGTGGGCTCTTGGCGGACGTCTACTCAAATGCGATGTTGCCGTTTTCCTTTCTGTTTCCCTCTCATTTACTCCCGCATCCTTGTTTCCCTGTTTTGCCTGATATCGGTCGCTATTGTGGTAATTTTTTTCTGTCGTGCACTGTGTCTCCGCTCTTTATTGCTTCCCCACTGCGCGGGACACTGTGTCTTCCCCCCGCATCTCTCAAAGCGTAGAATTGGCGCATCAGATACAACGCAACGGGGGAAGAAGGAAGGAAGAGGGGGACCCTCGCATTCAAGAGTACCATTCAATAAAGTGTGTTTTTTTCTTTACCGAGTGCCAAGCGTGCCAACGCACACACACACACACACACACACACGCACGCACATACACCATTATTGAACTAGAAAGGGGAAAAGAAGAGAAAATCCTGAAGGGAAAACGAGGTGAATAAAGAGGCCACGCAAAAATGCCATCTTTGCTGCGCACTAACTATGCGCTCATGATGTTCTACGTGCGGGAAAAGCTGTGGCGCCACGCGGAGCTAGTTTGCACTGACACTATCAAGTCAACGGACAGTTGGCTTTTTCGTGTGTGGCGCGCGCTTTGCTACGATCAGCAGGGCCAACCGAACGAGGCGTTACGCGAGTACAAGGCGGCAGAGCAGCGGCGCGACACCGCCGTCCCCGCGCTGATGGGCATCTTGCTCATCTACCGGAGGAACAAAGACGCGGAGGGTCTTGCCGCAGTAGAACGGGAACTCGCCGACACCCGCCGCGCCGAGGATGTGGACGGGTGGGTGCAGGCTGCTGCACTCGCATGGGCTGCCGGTGATGTGAGCGGCGCCCGCGACATCTTGCTGCGGTTCCAGGATGGCTACGACGAGCACCGCGACGAGTGCACGAACCTCGCGACGGTACGGGCGTGGGTGGACCTCAGCACCGGCCGCGGCGCGTTCCTCGAAAAGTGCGGTGCCCTCTTCCGCAAAGTCATGGAGGCGGAAGAACAAGACGGGCAGATGAACCTTGACGCCACAATGGGCCGAGTCGCGTTCTTTGAGCGCAAGTACCAGTTCTACCCCGCGCAACAGCTGCTAAACAAACTTGTCGTCAGCTACCCGAACTTCACGCCGGCCCTCATTGTCAAGGCGCGGCACCTCATGAAAGCGGAGGATTGGGACCAGTGCTGGGAGACAACAAAGCGCATCCTCGCCAAGGATAAGACGAACATAGAAGCTTTGGCGCTCAATACGCTGTTCCTGCTGGTAAAGGACGCCCGCTACGAAGCTGCTGCAGGGCAGCTGCCACGTCTTCTTGAAGCCCTGCAAGAGAAGGAGCCAAAAAACGCTCAACTCTTCTTTGAGTACGCACAATGCTTCTCACGCCTTGGCGGCACACACCTCACGCTGCTGGGTGTCACGATGCAGTTTGCAGAGGCCGCCCACCGCATGGCCCCGCAGAAGGGTGACTACCTCGCCGAGGTCGGTTACCAGCAGATGCTTCGTGGCGAGTACAAGGCGGCCATCGCGACCTTCAAGAAAGCTTCTTCAGCGTCAGACAGCAGCATGACCCCGCTCTTGGGCCTCATCCGCTGCCTCATTCTCACTGGCAGCCTCGACGAGGCGGCGCAGCAGATAGAGTTCCCAAATGAAATCCAAGCGTCTAATCAGCGCAATGCAGAGTTAAGTCTTCTTAACGCTATACTGCAGTGGCGGCGTCAGAGGAATCAGGCCAAGACTCTTCTATACCTTGACCAAGCGGCCGAGGCCATTAAGCACGATGTGGCCGCGCACCCGACTGGCATGGAATTGTACATCAGACTCAATCCACCGTTGATGTTGGATGTGGCAAAGGAGTATATGCAGCACTGCCGTACAGAGCCACCAGACCCGACACTGCACAAGGCGGACCCAGTGGCGGAGAAGTGCAAGCGGCACCTTGAGCTGCTGCTTCGCCACTTTCCCGGTTGCCTAGAAGCTCAACTTTATATCTCCAAGATATATTTTGTTGCTGGTGACCTCAATAAGGCACAGACGATGATCACGACAAGCATTCGTCATGAGCACACATTACCAGAGGCGTTTCTCCTTTCTGCACAGATTTGCCAGTATGTTGGTAATATACAACTGGCCAACCAGGCGTTAGAACAGGCGCTGACGCTTGACTTTGAAGTGAAGGATCAACCACAGTACAACTTGCTTAATGGTATTGTACTTGGGATGATGAACAAGCACCAACAAGCACTAGAGGCATTACAGTTGGCATTAAAGCTCACCAAGGATAAGTTGCGGGTCACCAGCAAAGGTCGCCCCTTACAGCTTTTAAGTGCACAAGAACACGTGAGCCTGTACCTACAGCTGGCGCAGACACATCTCAAGTTGCACGATGCAGAGGAGGCGCGTGCGACAATTGCAGAAGCGACCGCTCTTTTCAAAGACACGACACAAGCGGGACGTGTGTCGATTGCGAGTGCGATGATTGCCGCCCGTACCGATGTGGATAAGGCCATTGAGATACTTAAGCATGTGCCGCCACGCAGTGAGTTCTTCATCGCCGCCAAAATACGCATGGCCAACCTCTATCTCGCACACCGGCAGAATCGTCGCATGTACGCCGACTGCTTTGAGCAGCTTGTGGAAGAGGTGCCGACGCCGCAAAGCTATCTTGAGCTGGGTGAAGCGTACACCAACATCCAGGAGCCGGAGAAGGCTATTGCCGCCTACGAGAAGGCCAAGGCGATGGACCCAAATAACGGCGAGCTGGCTGTGCGCATCGGCCGCGCTCTTGTGTCGACGCATGACTACCAGCGCGCCATCCGCTACTATCGTGACGCCGTCGCGGCGGACGGCACGAAGTTCGCCGTGCGCGCCGATCTCGCGACACTGTACTGGCACCTCGGTGCTGCAGACCGCGCTATAGCGGCGCTGGCGGAGGCGCCGGCATACCAGAGCGAGCCAGACACTGCGGAGGGAATTGAGCGTGCCATTGAGCGCGTCAACTGCGCGCTGCTCATGTGCAAGATTCACCGCGGCTACCAGAAGCCGGAACTCGCGGCGGAGGCGCTGCTTCGGGCGCGCGGATTTCAGGAGCATGTGCTGCACCACATGATGCGCAACGAGACGCGCGAGACACTGTACCAGCAGAAGATGGTTGCAGCAACGATTGCCCTTGAGCTTGGCAACTACTACGCTTCGGTTGGCGACGTGCAACGGGCGAAGGAGTGCTACCAAGAGGCACGTGGGTACGACGAGACTAGCGAGGCGGTGTTGCTGGCGACGGCGCGGCTGCTTCTCAATAGCGGCGATGTCAACGCGTGCGAAGAGCAGTGCAACGCCGTCCTCCGCATCAACCCGTCGTGCGAAGAGGCTGTAGTGATCCTTGCTGACCTTATGATCCGTCGCCATCGCTTCGACGATGCGGCACATCACTTCAGTCAGCTGCTGGAAAGAACTCCGGACAACTATGACGCACTGGTGCAGTACGTGCGCCTGCTGCGTCACGCTGGGCGGCTTAACGACGCCGACAAGGCTTTGGAGCGGGCAGAGAGTCTTGTGCCATCTGGCCAGCGCCCGCCCCCTGGCCTCAGCTTCTCGCGCGGGTTGTACCATCGCTACTGCCATGAAAACACAGAGGCGCTACGCGCATTTAATGCCGCTCGGCTACCAGCAGACGATACGCCATGGAGCGTTCCAGCTCTGGTGAACATGATTGAGATGTACCTCGTTCCGACAAATGAGGAGATATGGGTTGACACACAACTTCGGGAAGACGACAAGAGTGAGAACATCAAGATCGCTGAGCGGCTCTTGCTACAGATGCCACAGGGTGAGACACGGGACATCCTGCAGGGGTACTGCTGGTTGGCGAGCAAGAAGCGACCTTTGGTGGAGCGTGCAGTGAAGGAGTTTATACGCATCTGCGCTTCTACTGAGGTGGTGGAGCCGCAAAAAAAGCAGCCGGTCACCAAGGAGGAGAATACGGAAGAAGGTGAAAAAAAGGATGAAGATGATAAGCTGCTGAATGACATGGAAAATTCATCTGTGCCTTATTTAGGTAAAATGAATGTGCCTGCCCATGTCGGGCTCGCCATCGCTTACTACATCGATGGCCTAGAGAAGAAGGCGGCCGCGGAGCTAAAGTCAATTGTTCTGCTGCCGTTTGATCCCGACACGAGCGACGCTGTGCACCGCGCCCGCCTACTTAGTGCCTATATGGACATCCGCAAGAAAGACTTAAAAATGGCAAAGTTAATGTTGCAAAAGTCTATAGAGGTGAACAAGAGCTGCGCCCAGACATGGCTTATGCTGGGTTCTGTTCATGAGACGGAGAAAAACTACCCCGAAGCTGCCAACTGCTACGAAAATGCGTGGAACCTCGCAAAGGAGCGCGACCCTTCCGTTGGATACAAGCTGGCGTTCCACCAGATGAAGTCGAGGAAACTGGTGCCAGCGATCGACGTCTGCCGAAAAGTGCTGGAAGCACACCCCAATTATCCCAAGATAAATGAGGTGGTGGACGTGTGCCGCAGTCTGCTTCGGCCTTGATGGTGAGTTTGCGTGGGTGTGTGCATACGTTTTTTTTTCTTCGGGGGGTGTAGAGAACGGCGCGAGGGCCGAGGGCAGCATGTCTGGCATGTATACTAAGAACTGAGGAGGCGTGAGGGGATAGT